GAAGGTCTGCCTCGCCTTCAGCTGGAACTTCCTCTGCTTCCATTTGTGCCCATTGCCCCTTGTCCTGTCGCTGGGCACCACTGGAAAGAGTCTGGCCCCGTCCTCCTGACACCCACCCTGCAGATATTTATAGGCATTTATGTAGAGGTTTAATTTACGCCAGGAATTCCCGTGGGAGATAAGACGTGTGATGACCAACCTTTGCGTAGCCTGCAGCCCCTGCTCCCTGCTGTGAAGCCAGCACTGCTTCCACCTCTAGCCACGAACCATCTTGCCTTTGGTTCCCTCTGCTCATGGATATCCTCTGCAGTAGTTTGGGGACGGCGGTTGCCTGTCAGCATGTCCCAGTCCATGTTTCGTGCAGGGACGTGCGCTGCAGCCCAGCCTGGCCTGTTGGCCCCTGTCCCAACCCAGCTCTTCCCCACCAGCAACTGACAGCCCGAAGTTCAACCAAAAAGGCGTCAGTCCTGGCATCTGCAACCTTGCCTCTGAGCCCGCCTGTTGCTCTGCGGGGCGGGTCTACCTCTGACACCCAGGAGAGATCCCAAAATGGCTTCAGGTGGGTTTTGCAGGTGCGTGCCGTGTCTTTTGCAGAGCCAGGCCTGTCTGCAGCCCGGCAGTAGCATGGCCACAGGCTCCCACCCACGGAAGGGCTGGCGGATGCGGGTGAGCTGTGAGTGCCAGTGGACCCATGAGACAGCTCTTACGCCATCAGGGTTCTTTTCCCCCAGAAACCTTTGAGGAGACACGTAGGGAGAAGGGACAGCACCCTCCATTTCTGCATCCCCACGTCTCCCACTTCAAAGGTCGGCAGAATTGTTAGCACAAGTGTGTCTGGAAAGTGAAGTGTATTCAGAGAAATGTGTCAGTGAATACTGTGTGTTAATGTAAACACCTTATGCCTGCCAGGCGAGGGGGAGAGGAGCATTGCCAGCTGGGTCAGACACAGCACTGCTCTAGATCTGTCTCAGAGCATCTTTAAGTCCCAAGGCCTCCCGGTGCAGCGTGAGGAGCTGCCGTGCGCGAGCACCAGGCTCTCCCTCCCAGGCAGCTGCTCTGCGGGGACGGCCACAGGGCATGCTTGCCCCATATTTTGTCCAGTTTTGCCTTCTTACCTGTCACATCTCCTCCCCTCCCACTCCCTCGCAACTTGAACATGCATCTGCTATTGGGTTTGGTGGTTGTGCAAGGCTCGCGTGTACTCTGGGATAGCCAGGTGTGGGAACCGAGTCCCTCCCGTTTCATCTTGTGCTGAGAACGTCTTTGCACGTTTTGCCCCCTTGCACCGCTTTCCTGCTCCCTGCAGATGAGGATACTCAGAGCCATCATGTCCTGCAAAATCAGGGAGAATCAGAGGCTGAGCGAGGATCGGGTTTTTATTGTGTGATCATGATGTGGAGGGCTGTAGATGATGAGATGTTCAGGGACACAGGTGAGCAAAAGAGCATCCAGCTTGCTCTGTGTCCCCGCAGAGTGACAAGTGCTGGCTGCTGGCACATTCTGCAGCAGTGGCCAGGGACTGAAAGAAAGAAGAGGGCCAGGTGCTAGGACATCTCTGCTCCTCTGGCCAGGCCGTATGAGGAAGGGCATGCAGCTTTTCCCAGTGGCTATGGAGCCTGCCAAGATGCTCTTAATTCAGGGTTTGTAGCCCAAATATATCTATGTCAGGAAGCTGCAACCCCAAGTGACCATGGCCAGCCATTCTTGCATTGAGAATCTTCTGGCTGAGGCTTTCAAAGATGTTATTTCCCTTGATTTAATTCCATATAAACTGCAGAATTATTTTCCTTTAGAGGCTTGCAAATTATGGAAGCATAAACCACGCTAATGATCCGATAAGGACAGCTTTGGATGCGTTCCCGAGAACAGCTGCCCCTGGGCAGGACGTGCTTGGAGAGAGTACTGATGGAGAGCAGCCTGCCGCGCTCACCTGGCTGCCTTCCTTGGGCCCCCCCTCCCCAAATTCCTCCGTCTCTCTGGAACGAGAATCATTTCCTCTTCCCTCTCGGGCTGCTTGCAGAGGCAAAGGCCCCACAGACCCAGAGCTATCTCTGGAATGTGTGTAAACACGAGTTCAATGGGACACTGTTTGCCCCCCTCTCCTGGAGGCGTTGAAGAAGGGGTTAACACCAGTTTGTTTTACGGGTTCCTGGCCCTGAGAATTGTCTTCCTCAGAGGGTGACCCAGCTGACCCGAGTCTCTGTGTGTGCATTTCCCAGCATAAAGGGGAAATCTGGGGGCCCCGCCAGGTGGGTGGGATTTCTGTCCTCTAAGAACAGGGAGATGAAAGACCGAGGTGGTTTTCGTGCTAAACAGGGACCTGGGAGATGGTGCGGGATCGCAGTGCACGTGCCCAGGGACTGAAGGCGTCGTGTGATGGTGTAACTAGGGGGATTTAGGCAATCCCTGGACAGAAACAGATGTGCGATCAGGAGAAGGGTGGGGGTTACATGCGGTTCTGGTGCCCCCATCTTCAAAGACTGTTGAAACGTAAGCAGGGGGACAGAACCTTAGAAATGATGTACGGGCTAGGACAAGATGCATTTTGATGAGAGGCAGAAAGAGCTCTGTCTGTTTGTCAAAAAAAATATTCAGATATAAGTTTGTTACGGTGTATGAGTACGTTACTAACGAGACCGGCCTGGGCACCAAAGTACTCTTAGATTTAGAATAAGCAGCGGCAAACCAAAACCTAAAGCTAGACAAAATCAAGCTGAAAGCAGGAGTGTCAATACCAACGAAATGGTTAATTCCTAGATGTGTTGTCAGCGCTGGTGACGCACGGAGGCTGGATCCCTTCCAGAAAACAACGCTTTAAACTGAAGACAAAGAACCGGGCTTAGCACGGAGGTGATCAGCAGAATGGCTTGGCCTGGTGTAGGCAAGGGGTCAGACCAGATGATTTAATGATCTCTTTTGGCCTGAAAGCTTGCTGTTCTCCTCAGAAGAGAAATGAAAAAGCCCTTTCACACAAAGCGAGCACTTGAGATACGTGTGTAATGAACTCGGCCGCTTCCAGGGGAGCGGCGGAGCAGGACCTGCGGGAGCGCGACCTCACGGGCTGCCTGGAGTTGGTGGCCATCTGTTTGGTGGAGGTGGCTCGCCGCCATCCAGGCCCCCGCTCTCA